CATAAAGACACGTACCACCTGTACATTAATGTTTGAGCTATAAGTGTCTTTCTGGTCATCTGTTCTGTTTCAGACTGTTTTCAGTACGGTCTTGTGGAGAGGCAGATCCTAGAGCTGTTACAAGGGCTTCATGTGACCAAAACTACGTCTCCTAATGACAGGAGGAGTTCAGAGCCATCATGTCCTGAGCCTAGTGAGGAAGACGGAAGCATCAGACAGAAAGATATTGAGAAAGATGATATATGCCCAATCTGTCAAGAAGAACTTTTGCTGAAAAAATTGCCTGTAACCTATTGCAAGTAAGAGAACTTATTCAGAATGAATCTTCTTTAGGAAATTAAATGGATACTCTCTAAATATATGTCTAAAATATGTAAGAATGCAATGATAAATATTGTATTAAACAGCAAGTGAATATGTTCCATAGCTGAAATATTTGAAATCAATACATTTTTTAACAGAAATGTATTAATTATGCCTTTTCTCCATCTTTGAAATCAAATGCATCACGCTCACCCAAGTTTCCATTTAAACTCAAAAAGCTATTATTGATACTCAAATTGGTTGCATTGTAATTATGCATCATTTTTCAGGTTCAGTTGTGGAAACAACATCCACATTTCCTGCATGAAGGTATGGGCTGATCATCAGACAAAGAGGGACCCACGTGGCCTGCTTAAGTGTCCACTCTGTAGGGAGGACTTTGGCACTTTTAAGCAGCTGATTGAACAAGTACGTCATTCCAAGACACAGTTAATTAATTTTTCTTTCCTTTTTTGTTTAAACTTAAATCATCTCGGGTTAAAATGTGTTATCTTTGACAGGTGAAAAATTCAGGTGAACTGTTAACCTGCTATGAGAAGGACTGTCTGGACAAACATCTGGGTGTTATGTGCAACAGCTGCAGGGTTTGTCCAATCATCGGCAAATGTTTCAAGTAGGCATCTATTACACATTGCAGACATACACTATTGTTCAGAAGTTTGGGGTTGGTAAGATTTTTTTGTGGAAGAAGCGTCCTATGATCACCAAGGCTGCATCTATTTGATCAAAAATACAGTTGTGGAATATTATTGCAATTTTTATTTATTTAAAAATGCAATTTATTTATGTCATGACAAAGCTGAATTTTCAGTAGCCAGTACTCCAGTGTCACAGGATCCTTCAGAAATCACTGCAATATGCTGATTTTTTTATTATCATATAATTATTAAAGTTGAAAACAGTAAAAAAAAAA